CTTCAATTACTTTTTCAGCTTCTTTCTTACTATTTGAGATATTGTAAGTGCAACTTGACAATAAAAACATACTTGTACTATGCAAACATGCTTCTGATAGGCTTGTGAATAAGTAGACCGCAGTTAACAGTGTTGTTATAGCTGAACTATGCATAGTTGGTTGTTGAAGATAATGTGATGCGGACGAACGTGAACACCGTTTTAACTAACCACCTTTGAAGAAATCATAGAACATTCAGATTGACTTATCATAGGAGATATTCTGCATGTATGACTAGAAACTTCACAAAGCAGCAATACTGTGGTTGTATGTGGTCGCATAAATGAATTTGGAGAAAGTGGTACACTCATTTTAGGTTGTCTGGCTTTTGTTTTCTATTCTGCATTTGCATTACATGGCTTTGATTATGAAAAGAAATAAATAACCTTACCTATTTGATCACTTTTTGTTGATCAAAATATATCAGAGAATATAAGCAGGTCCACTCTGTTACTACCACTATCAGAGAAGAAGTACACAAATGAAAGTATTTCTGAAGAATTGGAGTGATACGCCGAGATGTATGTCTTTTCAATGCAGTTTACAAAAACTCTTATCAAGGTTTATGGTCAAATCGGATATGTCAGTGAAGGGAGCAAAGACCTAACATATTATTTTAAAAGAAAGGTTTGAGTTCCCTTCTTCCTAGCACTTCACGTCTCCACAATTTTTCTTAGAAAACCAGCTTTTTATGGGATTTCAATCGCGCTTTTATTAAAGTGAATGCTGTAGAGTTTGTAAAGCTTTGAAAAATTTCATCTCTGGAATATACTTAGAAAGAAATAAAAGTGTTATTCATAGAATATGACAACATAAACTAGATGGAGGAGTTCCTCGGGGACTTTTACAAACATGTGTCAATAAGTGTATAAATTCTCCTTACTAACTTCTTTTGCTGACATCTTGTGTTTGACCACCATTACCTCTGCAGCATAGGTCTTTGTGTCGTGGTGTCACCACGTCAATAATGCAGAAGTCAGGTGTAGAGTTTTAGAAAAGAATGGAAAGTCAGTTGATGCGGACAGGAACCTTCATCACCTGAGGTGACTGAGACAAGTATCACCCATGCCCAGTTACAGTTTCTTGTAGCGCAACGTTAGGTAAAGTAGGTTCAGGCTGAAAAAGTCCTCAAGGCCCATATTGGGAGACCAGACGGTTAGGGTCCAAGTGACATTGAAAAAGAGAGGTTGAAGATTCTAGGTGATATGGCTCAAAATCGATGTTAGTGTTGGAAGTGTTCTGCTGCTTTCCACTGCTTCTAACTAACTTTCCTTTTTTTCCTCTTCCTACTTTGTTACTAGTTGTGCTGATATAAGGTGTGGCAACTTGGACTGTTACGCAAGAATGCTTGTTCCAATGTTGATAACGATGAGGATGATGATGTTTATTTCTTGATATCTTTAAGTTTTGCCGATGAAAATATTTACAGAAAACTATATTTCATATGTGAATCACTTATGCCCAGAGGATGTAAGCTGAATTTTTACAACCAACTGACACATAAATACATTTTTAGTTAATAACCTGAAAACATTATTCTATTTAAAATTAAGAACGAATAGTGACTAGAAATAAAATCCTGGAAGGAGGTTTCGTCCAATTATGAACTCATTAGCTGGATGTGAGTGCCTTCCAGTGATGTTGTTCTCATATAAGCTTCTGTCGTTCAACTACCACTTCAAACACCAAAACTTTATTGACTAGACAGCTGAGATTTGTTCGTAACGTTTTGTGCATATGGTATAGGTTGACAAAAGGATTTGATATTTTTCATTGGAATTACTTGAACGTGGCCAAAAGTTCAGTCTGAAATCTTTTGAAGTTCGTCTGTAACAACCTTCTGTTGCTAAGTAAACTTATAAACTATTGAATACCTTTTGAAAAACTATTATTCGTATCTTTAGACAAATTTGCTTTTCATATTATTTATGGAGTCCATTTTGAGTTTAAGCATATCAGTAAGTAACTAGACTCACTTCACTATGTACTGAAATGCAAGACGGAAATCTACTAAGCAAGAACAATTTCGATAAATATTATTGAAATCAAATGTGAAACCTAACCTACTTAAGTCCTCTCTGATAGTATGAATAATGCCCATAACGATTATATAAATCTATTTTAGGCATCGAGCGGTTTTCTGGAATGTCTTTAAGTGTTTAGTAATGATGGGCAGTGGCTAGCAGTGGAATCCAGGATGCTCATTTCGTCCTATTTGGGACTCGTCAGCTGGATGTACCTGCCTCCCATTGAGTGATGTTGTTCCCACCGGGACTCGGACTCGGGAGCGATCGCTTCAAACGCCACAACGTTATCCACCATATTAAGTATCTACTGGAAAGTAGTAATCATGGCTGGTGGTCATCATGACTAGGTTGCTTAGCGGATAACTCTGTAGTGTTTGAAGCGATTAATCATGTGGTTGGGTCTCATTGGGGACAACATCACCCATTAGGAGGCGAGCACATCAAACTGAGGAGTCACGATCAGGACGAAACGTGCATCACGAATTCTACTATTAGCCACTATCCCTACTGAATACAAGTTTGTTTTATGCCATTTTCACCGACACTGATACAATGCATGAAAATCGTCTACGTAGAAAGTCCTTAGTATCGAACTGTGAAAGGTTATACTGTACTGATTAAGAAATTTACAGTGAGAGACTGAGAAACTTTGAACATACAACAGCATCAATAAACACTTTTTCTTCCCGTCGTTCAGATATAATTGTCCCCTTTTTCACCCGGTGCACTGTATAAAAGGCATTTGAGTTAAACTTAGGTGTTACATAATTATCAGTGGTGTAACATTTGTTTTTACGTTACAATGAGGAACAGTCCTCAGCTGATATAGTCAAAATGTTTAAACCTCATTTAATTGTCATCGCGTTTATATTGAAAGATAACAAGATCACTACGACTGCTGTTTGATATGAATGGGTGTTAATTTATTCAGCAAATAGTAAGGTAGTAAGCCATTTGCATTCAGTATCAGGATTTACAGGTATTTCTTGCTGTTCATAATCTTATCCGTCTGATAACAGGAATAAAATGTGTCCCTTAAAGCCAGTCAATAAAAATGGGACCGTTTCACTGTTTACCCTATCACATAAATAAGTAAATATATAGTCCTAAACTATTTCTGTACCCAAGTTTTACTGTTGTTATGAAGATTCGATTGCTGCAGTTGTAAATACCAGGAGGAACTATATAATAGTTTTATCAGAATTGAATCAGAATAGTGGGTCGTTTGTTGATCAAATGAATACTGAACAAGGATGCCTTTAGCGTATCTTAGCTACAATATAGAACTTCCTTCTTTTTACTTAGGTGTTGACTGTTTTCAGACTTTATACTGAGTAAATATTGGAATACAAATCTTGTGATCAGCTAAAACACAAGGAGGATTTAGAGTAGGAATAACTGTTAAGTATACGAAAGGTGCGGTCAACTTAGCAAACAGTCAATGACTTATAAAGTGAGGGTAGCCAGGTAACCAATGAGAGTAGAATTGTATCGTTTTCTCCTACACCAGTTACTTTGTATATAGTTTACCATTCATATTTACACGTTAGGCTGAACATAGCATAGAAATGAAAAGTTGGTTACTTAAAATCCCCAAATAAACTTCCTCTTGGAAGTTATGATGGATACTGGCTAGTAGAAAAAAGATAAAATTGCATCCTAATGTCATATTATCGTCTCGAAATAGAAAAGCTGTCACCTTAAAGGTTTGCCTTCTGTTTTTATAGCAGATGAAGTGTATTGTATAATTGCTTGCAATTTTCCGTCGTTGGCTGAAACGAATTAATAAGGGTGTATTAGCATATAAGCCACGGCGCGTGTGCCTCGATGTTGCCTGCAGTTTTATTTTGGTGGTAGTGCTGAGTGCAAAGTAAGATAAAACACGCTTCTTGGATCTCACTGCTAGCAACTATCCATCAGTACGACCGAATCGAAAGTACAGAGAGTATAGAGGCATCCCAGCAGGAGCCCATTTGCTGATAGAGGCCGATGAATTCTGTCCTGTTGACGATAGGAAATTACAAGCAAACATATAACACACTTCGTCTGGTATAGAAACAGAAGGCAAACCTTTGAAGTTACAGCTTTTCTACTTTGAGACGATAATGTGAATGAAAGGAGCTGCAAGCAAGAGTAACCGAGTATCGTGGCTCAGCTGGTAGAGAGCCAGGCGAGTAACCCGAAGATAGGTGGGTGGCTGGAATCCACCTCCAATCACCACTCAGCTTAATAATAAAAGTCTGCCAAACCATTACTATGTCATATATTGGAAGGGAATGATTTCTTCATTACTTGAGGTAAATGACAAAGGAGACAAAAAAATTAGTAGTTCTAATTAAACAAAGCATCCTATTTCAAACAGCTCATCACTGTTGCACTTATGATAGCCTATATTTTCTTATGTTTGTTAACCAAAACACTCCATAATTATAATTAACAAACGATAGATGAATGACAGGTCCCTATTCGTAAGTGACTCCTGGTGACATTGGTTTCTGGAGGTTCTGATGTGAAGTTGCTATCGAATTGGAGTAAAGGATGGATATTTATTGATGACACTAGTTGGTAGTCGTGCAAGACATCTTCTGTCACAGAAGATGGAAAATGCAGATCTTTGTATTACAAACTACTGATCAATTGGTAATATGCGGGCCATGTATTTGATCTGACATGGAATTGTACATATGCTCTACTGAGAAGTTCCTAATAATGGTAGAGCAGATACCCAATGCACTAATATCCTGAATGTTTCCTCCAAGTTAATTCTATTTCTCATGACTAAGACTTCACTGAAAGTTATCAAATATGCTTAACTAATCAAAGAGATAAGCAGTAAATACTGAGAAAATTGGAGAGGAAAAAGTTATTTTAATCTAAGTAGGTTATTCTTTTATAAATCAATTAAATGGTATTTTGTAAAAATCTTATTTTAGGGGAAACTTATCAATTATATACTCAATTCATATGGATTTTACAAAAAACAAGGTAAGCTAAAGAGTGTAGAATATGTTTCAATGTAGTAGAGGTATGCAGGTATTTTATTGACTTGTATTTGGTATTCATTACAGACTAACATTAGTTGAAGAGTCATTGAAAACCTATAGGGCACTGTACAGCGATTTCATTCTGATAGTATGCTATCTTTTAATAATACAGTTTAATGACCCCCCTTTGATATGAATCAGACTCATGACCTTCAGGTTTTTACTGCAAGCACGTTACCATTGGACCATTGATTCGGAATCCATTCCATGATTTATTGTAACTTTCATTTAATGCCATTGCTGAGTATTTATCCTTATGTTGCATAGATCATAATGAAATCTAATCTCGAAACAAGTCACTAATCAGCGTTGGAAAGTAAATCAATTTGAAGGTTTCTGGTGATTTATTGATTTCATGTTGGTACTCGATCAGTTTTGCTTGACAATAAACTACTGGTACAGGTTGACAGGATAATAACTGTCTTTTCATATGATAAAATGATGGTTAGTATGATTTTCAACAATCTTACGGAGAATCAGTTTCATGCACATTTGAATTATAACCACACTGCGACTGTCGGTAGAATTTAGATCTGAAATTCTAAACACAATTCATTTATTTCAGTTTGTTAGGACTATTTGGAATCCTACTGATGAGTGCAATTCATGACTTGTTGTAGTTTCTCTCAAAAGATTATCTTTTTGAAAACTTTTCTTCTCCTAAACTTTAGCTTGATATGACAATCAGTCGATGACAGTTTTCATTGAAATCCAACTATCTTAACATTTTTCATCCTTTTTCATTTCTTTATTCAAGAATATCTAGAACAAAATAAATATTTGTTGGATATTAGTATCTTTGAACCTCTAAACTCTAACCAAGTGGCTGAATGGTTAACTCATTCGCCGTGAAATCTGAAAGTCTAGAGTTCGATCCCTAGCCGGGTCGTTGGTGTGTATTGTTGAGTTCCATACTAGAACGAAACAGCTATCCAGTTCTCCCTGGTTTTTAATGGTTCCTCAGCTGATGCCAGTCCATGATGAATACTACCTTTAAATATTTGCAACTGTAAAAATATTTTAAATGCTACCCTATTGATTCTTTCTATCGTTTCCCCGTTATTTTTAAAAAAGGTTATCAGTACCTCACGTAGTAACTGTAGATTAGTGTAACCGGAAACCCAACGACCAACTGTCCTCTAATTTAATTCGAAAACAATAGTCAAATGACACTTTTTAGGGTTAAATAGAGGCTAACATATATTACTGATTTTGAGAAAAAACCAAACTATGGAGAAAAAAACAACTAATGAACCAATCAAAGGCATTGAATTAGTGTATCGTATTTTTAGTATGGTTTAACTGAAAACGGATGTATTTTTTTACAGTCGCGTTGGTCACTTATCTGATCTTCTTCTCTTACTCGTGTTTTGTCTTCTAATTTCATCTTTGTAATTCTGTTTGATACTTCTGTTGGAAATAGTTCTGTCTAGGTTGACCAACTAAAACGTTGCTGTTGCAGAAGAATGGTTAATGACCTTTCATTGTTTATTGAACCCATGACACAAGAAATTCAGCCAAAGTTCGGTAGAAACTTTACAGAAAATTAGTTCTTTCTAAGTGTGATATAAACAAATTTTATTTCATTTTTTTCAGTACCATTTTGAAAAAGGGGACATCTGTACCTACATGAAAGCAATCGCTTCCTGAATAGCCCACTGGTAACGTCTCTGACTACAACACTGGGTGACACAGCTTCGAATCTCATTAGGGAACATCCGTTCCTTCGAGGTTGCACATACGTGTTTCTGACGAAATGTGAGTCAAGCAAGGCTTCCAGATGATTGCCTCCTGTCAACTGAAACTTGTAATCTAGTTGATGACTTCCAAATAAGACGAAACGTGCATTCTGGATTCCACCGCCAGCCACTATCCATCATTATTATGTCCATAGCTTGTTTAAGAGATTCAGTAAACGATTATGAAATTTCAATGAAGTTGTTTACCTAGAGGGGGAGATTTTTATTTGGTAGTGTTCAACGTTGGTTTGCAGGGATATTACTCACCATGGTAATTAATGTCAACGGTATTCCAAAAGATGACTTATCAAAATTATATGAATGACAGTGATATTTATTTGTTGGCTCCTGTTATCTCCCCTTGATCTTTATGTTGATTCGAGTTGTTCGGTCACTGTTAGCATATGAAGTCCCGCATACAACTGTCTCGGTAGCCTGAAGATTGATTAAAATGTAATTTGATTAGTAGTGGCTTGCAGCGGGATCCAGGACGGATATTTTATTTTATTAAGGAGCTTGTTTTCAGTCGTATTGGGAACACTAACATGTATTGTGATGCGTTTACATTTTGTTGGAAAGTCCCACAGGGGACCAAACTACCATATTAAGTTTCCGACGAGCTATGCTTGAATAGGCGAAAACTGCATGACAAAGTCAATGGATCGATAATCATTATTTTCCACTTGAGTACCATTTGAATAACAAGAGAAAGAGGAAATTCTTGAAGGTTAATTCTAAAAATTGAATTCTAAGAGTTATGGATAAGAAAACCAAGAAAGTGGACTACCTCTGCCATGCTCTAATGGCCTAGTAGAAAACTCTTTGGCGTTTGGAGCGAAGTGTACTGGGTTCGAGTCTCAGCCGGAGCAACATCACTCACTGGGGTCCAGGTATATCCAGTTGATGAGTCCCAAATAGGACGAGACGCGCGCCTTTGATTCCTCCCCTAGCCACCAAGATCTATATAATATCTTAAATATACGGCAGTATCGAGGCATCCGCATATCAGCCCATCTGCCAACAGGGGTCAAGGGATTCGGCTCTGTATGGCAAAGGGAAATTACTCGTATAGTTACCACAAGGAATGGTGGGTAGAAATCTGACCAAACGACAGGATGAAAAACTACTGAATATCACTACGGTGATTAAAAAATGAATGATGCTTCGAACATCAACAACTCGGAGTTCTATAACTTTGAACAAAAATTTATCGTAACTAAGTAGCCTAGGGTATAACGCTCCGATGTTTAACCCCATGAGTTCCAGGCTCTGGAGTGAGTGCGAACAATATAACTGGCTGGAAGGCAAGTACAGCAAAATGACGAATCCTGAAATGGAAAACACATGTAACCTTGAATCTACTGTTAGCCACTATGTATGATTAGTTACAATAAGCTGACACGTTTAAAAAAGAGGCTTTGTGATTCATTCCACCCAACACCAATGACGTGGGGAGATCAATTCGCAAACAATCCACATTGGCATTTCTCACAGTTGAGGAGTTTTTCAAATGCCATTTGACTATGGTTTCAGCAAAGTGTCCATTGGGAACCACCCAGACAAGATCACAATGTATAGTCTCTGACATAAAAGTGTTATAAACTAGTGAAGTGTACTAATACTGGGAAAACTGAGTAGTTAGAAAGCAGTCAGGTTGGTCTGTAGATTTCACCATCAGAATTGAGTAGTTGAATAAACTACTCATCTGTGAGAAATGCCACCATGGACAGTGGAGTTTGTATGCCAATGGCAAACTGATTATCACAAATTGGGCATACAAGTTCATACAAGTCAGCTAGCTGGATTCAAACCATCTGAACTGCTTCTGGTCTGTGAAATGAATTTCTTCAGGTACACAGTTGATGATCCCGACCGCATAACAGTGAAATGGGCGTCCAAAATTTCGATTACTTGGACCTAGCTAGCAAAATCAGCAGATCAGCTTGAGTGGTTTCCAACTACTCAAGCTATTTCAGTAGTATTACGAAAAACTATTGGAAGTCATAGAGCGATGGAATTTAGTGTCATTCTGATGGTTTGGAACTGTTTGATGAATAATACCTCATCTCAACGACCACTCATGACTTTATAATGCATGTCTTGAATGATATCTAACTACTGAATTCCATATACAGAGGTCGCTGTTCGAATCGTTTACTTGGCGGTTAAAGGTTGTTAGCTCAAGTCAGTCCATGTGGTAGGTTACAAGTTAAGAATTTAAAATTTTACATTTCATAAATTGACTTCTTCTGATAGAGTCCCAGAACAGCTGTGGTATTTCTAACTAACCGAAATTTCTCAGTCATTAGTAATTACGCAACTAAAGGACTTTTATTTCAAATGGGCACATTTTACAGATCAGCATATTGGTACTACAGATAAACAAGTATCCAGTTGCTCCAAACGATATCGAGCAAGTTGAAAATTTTTAACCCAGCTTAGAAGTGACTTATATTTTAATAGCTCACGTTTGAAATTTGGTCCTTAAGCCCTCACTTAATAACAGCATGGATTTGAATCCCAAAACAAAGGTTCAAACGCCATCTATGAATCAAATGAGAAAGTCTAATTTCCAACACAGTTACCTATTAGCTGAAAAGATGAATCAGATTTCCATTTAGATACAAGTATAACGAAATAATAACTTGACTGGATCAACTGTAGACTTTTTTGAAAGATATCAGTGGCATTCTATATGATGGATTTCTTGAAGCTGTAATGAGTTTGACCTGTCTAGTCAATGGAGTCGGACGTTAGTACAACCACTCAACCATGATATTGAATGGTGATACAGTGGCCGAGGACTGCTCACCGTGAGACCTGAAAATCCTTGGCTAGATCCTTGGTTGAGTCGTTTCTGCCTATTACTCTGAAGTCCTATACTAGGAGGAAATAACTGTTTAGTGATCCCAGGTCTTTAATGGCTCTCCAATGGATGTCAGTCCTCGAAAACAGAGTTATCTCAAAGAAAAACACGCAATAGTAGATTAAGAAGTTGTAAATTATCAACAGTTATGGAGTTGTGCTTTCAAATATGCATGAATAACAATATTATCTGAACTAGTAAGATTATATTATATGAGCATGAATTCAAGGATCATCTATTATAATAAAATACTAGTGAATAAGGTTCTTTTTACGTTTGTATTCAAAAGCAGAACTTGAATAAAATAAGAGTTATGTAAATAATGACTATTGAGTC